TTACAGAATTCGATTAAACTATGAAAAGTAAGAGTATTCCTTATATATCCCGATGTAAACAGATCGATTGCTTTTGTTTTTTCTTGATAAAAATGAACTTGTTTGTATGAGTCAGTTTGTTGCGTTTTTTATATTAATTTAAATGCTACTACGTTTTACTGTGGTCTGTTGCAGCTTCTGTTGTGTTGTCGCGCGAATGAACAGGTTCGTCGGAGGAATTGCCACAGCCTCAACGCCCCAGTATTTCTAATACATCAGCATTTATTTGGGTGAGGGAGCTAACTAGCACCAGATTTTTAATAAAAATAAATAGTTTTGAACAAAAAAAACCTACTTTAATAAAGCATTGTCAACGCCTATAACATTTGAGGATTGCCCTCGATTTCTCTGAGAAGCCATCATCAGATCTGGGTTCCCTTACCATGGTACCACCCTTGGGATATCTCCTTTCCAACAAAAAAAGAATCATCAAAATCTGATCATAAATGACGAAGTTATCCCCGAACACACAAAATATATACATATATATACGGTCGAATTGAGAAACCTCCTCCTTTTTTAAATCGGTTAAAAAGGCCAGCAACGTATCTGCAATCCATCTGGTGTTATACATGTGCAGATGTCGAGGTTAATGATTAAATATCAGGTAAACCGTCTGCTCGTTAGTCGAATTTTAACATAAAAAAAAAATATATATATTCCTAGCGCAGCTCCGTGGCGCAGTTGCCAAGGTATTGGCATCGGCATCGGGGGTTGTGGGTTCGATCCCCACACGGGACAACTATTTGTGAGACCCTCAAATACTTTTTTCACATCTAGGCGTCTGTCTATTTGAAATTTATGTTTGCGTCCTTAAAACACAGAATAATTTTATCCTAATAAGTAAGGGGAATCGGCATTTTTTTTTAAAAACAAGAAAAAAATATGGTTTATAATTTAAAAATGTATATAGTTGTATAGTTTGAATTCAAATTTGTATAGTTTATATATTGCAAAGATTATCACATTAACATTATGGCGCTATGTAATACAGCGTAACGGTAAAATGTACTACATAAAGGACCAAAGAAGTATGTTAAAAACAGTACAATAAGCATATGTTGCGTTTTGTTCACGAGAGCTGAGCACCTAATTAGATTAGGGTGATGTCATTCTGATTATAACAGCGTGGCGTCATGACCGCTGCGAAGATTGTTATAAAATCAAGGTCTATGGGCACAGGTTTAATTAGAACTTAAACTACTTTGTATATGCAAGTTAAGGCAGACATACTTTGTATGCCTTATATGTATTAATAATTTGACACACACAAATGTATTTAATATAAAGTTCTTCGTTATAATATCAATTAGAGGACGATCTTTAAGGAAGAAAGATTCATAAAGTATACTTCACGCATTTCAGCCTGTTTGAGTCCACTGTTGATCAAAGGCCCCCCCGTAGACTGCCACGAAGCCTGACTTTAAATCCTTGGCCACTAGTGGGAGGGTCGTCCTACACTGCGATGGCCAGTATGAGGCTGCCACTCAATAAACTTTATACGCCATCGGATTTCGTTTCTACGAGCTATATGACCGGTCCATCGCCACTTCACCTTGCTATATTTCTGAGCTATGTCAGTTACCTTTGTACTACTTCGGACGTCTTCGTTGCGAACTCCGTCAAGCAGAGAAATACCGAGTTCGCCGCTCCATATGTCGGGTACATATGGAGATCATGAGCGATCTCCATAGATCATAAGCGACCCCATGAGCGACTTAGAGATTCCTCATACGGCCAGCGGTGAAGGACTAAGTCTCGGTTCCCTACGTTATCACTGGCAACATCAAGGAAAGTAAAAACTTAAATGAAAATAATACTTATATTATCAGAATGATCTTCTTATGATCAGAATGATCAATTCAAGAGTTTAACCATCCTTTTGGCAACTAGAATGAAATATGAAAAGCCATTTGACAGCTGATTAGTTGAAATCTACGATGATCAGTGTTTCAGAAACCGGGCGCTAATCTATTTTCGTCACCCGAAAATTATGGTTATCTAATGCCACTACCTATGTTCAACAAAAACTGTTTTATAAAGTGCTGTTATTAAATTCGCCACATTAATGAACTTATATCATAATATACTTCATACTAATATTATAAATAGTAACTCTGAGAGTAATTCTGTCTGTCTGTCTCGCTTTCACGCCAAAACTACTGAACCGATTTAAATGAAATTTGGTACACAGAATATAGTCTAGAGCCTGAGAAAGGACATAGGCTATTTTTTAATTAGAAAAACGGTTATTAAGGGTTCTCAAAAGGGGATAGACATTTATTTAAGGGCTTCAAAGCGAACGAAGCCGCGCGTGAAAAGCTAGTTGACAATAAATCCCAAAGAGGCCAATACCTGACTTCACTTTCCCATTTTAAAGTTTTTTATAGTGCTAATCTCTGCACCTAAGATTGAACATTAAAACATGTAGAAAAAGTACGAAAAGATTGTCGCCGCTGTGGGAATCGAACCCACGTCTTCGGCATTCGCGGCCTGACGCTCTAGCCACTGAGCTAAACGGCTGATAGCCACAGCGACGAAAATCTTAACGCCTTCTTTCTACATTGTTATTTAGCATTTGAAGCCATGCTTGGCGAATCTATTGTTATATCCTTTCCAGCATACAAACAATTTCGAATATCGTTTTACAACGATAATTCGAACGAGAGACATTTTCGGTTCATTTATGAGAGCCGAATTCATATAAAAATAAACTACATGTAATAAGACTAAGTAATTAAATAAATCGTTCACTTAACATATGGATTAAAAATAAAAAGATTGAATTGATTTCGTTAAAAGAATTAAAATATATTAAGCTATTAAGCAATTCTAAAAAAATTCCGATGTGAATAACAATAGACAAGGAAGATGTCAAAACTAGTTTTAATATTATTGTTATTGGAAGGCGTCTCAATTATAACGTACAAAATACGTATGATAATAATCGTTTTATACAAATTCTCACATCAATAACACGTGTAAGGTTATCACGCAGTAGTCTGTAACGAAGAACACTAATTATAATTTCTACTGATTTATATATTATTATTGGTTTCGAGTTGTTTATTTCATCCACAAATACTTCTATACCTTCCGCTGCTATATATATGCTAAAACTTGAATCGGAGCGATTTCTTGTTACACTTTTTTAGCGTCTTTATTTTATTAACGAAAATAAAACCGACTTCAAATATCTGGCTCTGTATTCATTTTATCATCGAATTTCAGGAGTTCCCCGAGTATCTTCGGTGCCCATGATCTAATACCATTGAAATTAATTTGAAACCATAATATGGAAAGTACCAGCTTTCAAATAAAAAAAGAATCATCAAAATCGGTTCGCTTATTCGAAAGTTTTTTTTTTATGGAGAAAAGGGGCAAACGAGTGTTAGCTATACTTTGTTTTATCGAGCTAAGAAGGTAGAAATATAAATAGTTTTACCAAATCACCGTAGTTTTACTTTGCACAACAATAACACTGGTATAATTACTTATTTTATCACTTTAATATCACTAATGAAACACCACTCTAACTATTTAATTTATGATACCGATTGGGCAGCACTATCGTGTATGCTTCTGGTTTGACAGCCAAAGAAGACGACGAAGACCATCAAATGCTTCTTGCAGCTTCATTTATACCCCACAGAATGACACTTCTTTTAGTATTGCCAACAACCTAAAGGAATGACTTCCTTTAGTGTTGCCAACACGAGCAGGAGGCTCACCTGATGGTAAGTGATTACCGCCGCCCATGGACACCTGCAACACCCGAGGGCTCACAAATGCGTTGCCGGCCTTTTAGAAAAGAGTATGCTCTCTTCTTGAAGGTTCCCAGGTCGTAACGGTTCGGAAAGACCGCCGGCGGCAGTTGGTAAGTTCTGAGGTAACAACCAAAAAAAAATACAGTTGAATTGAGAAGCTCCTCCCTTTTTGAAGTCGGTTGAAAACTGACCACAGAAGACCCAGAAGACGCAGGTTCGAATCTCGACGAAAAATTTTTCGACAATTTTTACGTATATTAGTTATTTTAATAAAAATATAAAAATCAATCTTTACATTATGACACATTATTGCCCAATCTATTTATAAAAAATGCTCGTGACTCATGTTAGTTGCCATACTCCTCCGAAACGGATTGAACTTGATCTTGGTAGGTCTTTATCTATTTTTCGACTACCCTTCGTGGGCGAGTCCAATTCGCACTTGACCGATTTTTAATACACTTTTTTTTCTATTGTGCCACTCCACTTCATCGAGTACATACATACCACTTCGGACTTCTACTTACATGCTACTATTTTTAGAGGTCCTTGTCGCACTTTGATACCTTAAAATGTGATAGACCAGCATATTTTAAAATGCTTTACTTTCATAAGATAACCATTTAGTTCGTATTAGCATTTTTACTAGACAAATGTTTTCCATTATACTTATATTTATTTTCTATTCGGCAAAAGAAGCAATATACAGTAATAACGTAAATAGAAGGTCCGATAAAAAGTTTTCTTTTTTTTTTTACTTGAGTGCGGTTGCGTATTGAAGTTTGAATAAAACCATAAAGACTGCACAGTTATGTTAACATTTAGCTAAAACAATAAACATTACCTACCTCAAGCATCCCTGTTGATGTTCGTACAGACAGAATGATGAGAATATTATAGTTATATATAGTTATCATATTGTCCTTTGTGGTATTTTGATATGTTGAATGTTATGGACCCAGCCTTGAAATGGAACCTGCTTTTGTTTCAGGTTGCCGGCTAGAAAGCAACGTGCATGCATATACCAAAGTCAAAACGCAGCGCGAATGTAGCGCGTGAACCACAAGAACACGCGACATCGTGCCGCACGGACGCACCGACGCACACAACGAACCACGCAACTTTTGCGCGGGAAAGAATTCCCGCCACAGAGATATGTGAATTCAAATTTGGAATCGAGCATTTCGTGACAAAATGTATTTTGTGCTAGTTCTGTTTGTTTGTGCCTGGAACGTAGTGCACGGGCAAGATATAGACGCTATGACGAACTTGCCCAAGTACGATTCCAGGTACGACTATTTGGACGTGGACGCTCTGTTCAATAGCAAAAGATTAGTGAGGAATTATGTGGACTGTCTAATTAACTCGCACCGTTGCTCGCCAGAGGGGAAAGCATTGAAAAGTAAGTGCATTTACAATTTACATAAAAGGAGTCCGACGCGATTGGACGCAAGGCTGACGGAAGAGTCAATGACCATTTGTTTTTAAAGCCGACATTGTCTGGTGTGACTAAACTTTTATATCGCGTAGCCATAATTTATTTCTATTTTATTTCATGATTTAAACTTAACTGATATTTAAATGTAGCTCAACTATCAAACGCGTATTTTTCACAGATATCCGATCCCTTTTTCAAAATAAAGATTTACTCATGTTATATTAATGAATTTAAAAAAAATAAAAAACTGCATGAATTTTAGTGTGAACTTTATTTACGGGTTAATTACCTATAAATAAAGTTCAGACTAAAATTCATTATAATAATGTACCGATTACTTACAATTTTTAACACCTTATTTTAAGCCCACCTTAAATCAAGTTTGTCCATCAATTACTTTTATATCAACAGATTTATACAATGACAGTTAAAGGAGTTATGTATTTTATAGTTGTACTGTAGTTGTACGTGCTTTCTAAGGTGGAATACGCCCAAATTAATAAATAAATGAGACAAAACTTCTATAGGAAGATTACCATGAAGTGACGCGACGATGACAATAATGTTGCAGAAGGTCCATCGACATCAGTGACTCAGGATTGATTTGATATTCATTTGTATTAGTCGGTGATGATGATGATTACGTGCAATAAAATTATCACAAATGTTACATAAAATGACTGAGTTATGACATCATGAAGTAATCTATTAAAATACTGCGTAAATTTAAATTACGAATAATTTCAGCTCTAAATTATTGAGTTTACGAGTTAATAATACAAAGCTACAGAAATATAAATTCGATTGAATGTCAATAGTTATACTACTTATTTAAGACAGTGTATTATATTAACAATGCCATTTTTAAAAAAATTATCTACGTTTATGTAGTATCTGTTCTGGGCATTTTAACGATATAATTTTGAATCTTGTAATAATCTTTAATTTATTAATCTTTTTTTGAACCGTGAAAGCTCAGTGTCCGGTCGCTCGCCTATCATTAAATTTACTCGAGCAACCTAAGTTCGATCCCCGGTGCCAGCACCAATGAAATCGTTAATTTTAAGAGCTGGCTTATCACGTGCTTAGCGGTGAACGAAAACATCGTGAGGAAAAATGCATATTTTCGAAATAATAACAAAAATAATATTTCAAAAATATGCGTAGTCCGCCAATCGGTAGTGGGGTCGCATGATGAACTATGCCCTAATACCTCTTTACAGAGGAGGCCTTTGCCCAGATACCCTCTTTACAGAGGAGGCCTTTGCCCATCAGTGGGACATTTATAGGATGTTACTTTACTTTGTTAATTTTTTTTAAACATATGATGATTATATTGTTAGATGTCCTTTTAATCTATTAAGGGTTTTACATTCGATGGTAGTTAAAACGTAACTAGCTGTATTTGAATTGCACAACACATTTTTAAATTTGCAGCATTTCTTAATGTAGAATATAAGAAGACTTTGACGTTTTTTAACTTGTGTGAACATTTTGATAATCATTCGGGTAATGTCTAATTTATCAATGGTCTGTTCTGTTTTCAATTTATTCATAGAATACATAATAGTCGCTTATAAATATACTAGCTGCTGCCCGCGACTACGTCTGCGTAGAGGGGTGAAAATTTAGGGTTGTATGTATTTTTGTATGCTGTGTCATAAAAAAATAAAAACAAAAAAATTTGCCTAAAAAATAAAAAAAAAATTTAGGGGTGGACTACCCTTAACATTTAGGGGGATGAAAAATAGATGTTGGCCGATTCTCCACTCTGGCCGACAATCACGCTAAGGATCACAAAAATCGGTCGAGCCGTTTCGGAGGAGTTCAAGTTCGAACCCCGTGACACGAGAATTTTATATATTAGATTACGATACTAATGTATAAACGAGTTTTTATAAATTTATAAATTGTATATATATGGACTAGTTGTACAAATTTTGCCTCTTGATTCAAACAAACACGAGAAAATCCGTATAAGTATATAGTTATATTTCAAAACGATATTCCATTCTTTCGATTATCCAAAAAAAAAAAAAAGGTATATTTACATTGTATATTTACAAAAAATCCCTTAAACCGTTTGTATAATGATTCACATGTTGTGCCGATCGCACCTAGGTGCAGGGCCGGATTTAGGGGAGGGCAAACGGGGCTACTGCCCCGGGCCTCCCCAAAAGAGGGGCCTCCACAATAGAGACTTTGGAAGAAACAAACAAAGTAAACACTAGTAAACAACTTTACCTTTCATGTTCAGTTGTAATAGTTGTAGTTGTAACACCCGATTCATTACAGCTGAGGACAGATACCCTAGAATATCCGAAACAACATTTGTTATAATAATCCTCTGTGGATCCCCGGAACGGGGGAGTGGCAGGGGTATGAGAAAATAGACCCCTGGTCGAAAGGGGTGAAAACTAAAAACAGCTGTCCTATCTGCCGGGGACTTTCGAAGACGCGATCTTGCAGTGAGTTCATGGCCTTCTCAGGTCTTCTCTCTCTGAGTGCTAGGCCAAATGGTCCGGCCATATTGTGCTAACCGTGGTAGGCCCACGCAATACTCTTCGCTGTTGCACCGATGAGCAATCCGGGCAAATAAATCTGCAACTCTCTACAGGTGTTGCAAATATCAATGGGCGGCGATTATCACGAACCGTCAGCTCCTTTGCCACATTCCCCCATTAAAACAATATATGGTGCTGTGCCAATTATCACTGAATTGATTGGCACCTCCATGTCTCGAACCTGACGGCTCAATATCAAAGGAGAATGTTGAGTAGGCCTCTTTCGCCTTGATGTTATCAAGAAAAACTTTAAAAGCATTTTTGTTCATTTATATCTCTTTGGAAATTTTACTTTATATAAATGAAAATTTACCTTTCACCATTTGAAAAATATTCTTCTTGAGTCTTGACACTTAAAACGTAAGGAAACTTTAAGTTTAACATTTATAAATAGGAAAATACATGGAAAATCCCATATCCGAGTCGATTTCCTCGTATGGATATCATAAAACCTTTCATAAATATCATGTGTAACTGTATTAAAAGAAACCATGTCAGAAAATAGTACCCATTGTTAAAATAATGTTTTTATGCAACCCAAGACAAAGGAAAACCTTCTTTATCAGAGACTTTTTAAGTATGGGGGTAGAAGATGGGAGATCCCCCGTTTTGGAGAAGTTATATATAATGTCTGCATTCTGAGGGCAACGGGTTATGTGTTAGATAAGACGTGTACTCAGGCCTCGGTGACCGTCTATAGTGGAATTGAAGGGACCCCGGTATCTCTAGTTGAAAGCAACGTTGCGTCTGCCAAACCACCGCACCTTATAAACACAAAAACATGTTATAAACCAAATCCACTTTGTCGGCCACTGTACAACGCCACGATCTGCCAAATCCCTTCGATACTCCATCGCCGTTGGTTTTCACGGAATTTCCTGCCGCGCACAAGCACTTTGTGGAGTCAGCGGTATTTACAGTCCGATAGTGGCTTTCACGTTGGAAAGCTTTCCTTGCCTGAAAGGTCTGCGACATCGCTGCAGTGATCGCTTACCTTTATGTGAGCGGCTTGCTCTTCAGCCATTTAGCCACTAACATAAGAGCCACGTGTAACAATAAAAAGAACCAGACTTCCATATTTAAGCAATTCTTTATAAAAACTACAGAATCTTTCATCTAGTAGTGTTGAGTATAAAACAGGTTCTCGAAACAACAGCTTCCGGCGCTACGGTAAACCCTAGATGATGCAATGGAGTAGAAGGAAACTTTTGATTGGTGCAATTTAAGCGATGAAAGCTATTAAAATATAATCATCTCTTGACGTAACTCCATCAGACGAACGTCGCTCCACAAAGCCGTTAATTATTTCTCGCTTATTGTAATCTTTTTGGCGAGAAAAAAGCTACAGTAAATTTACGGAGGCCGTTATTCTCGTGATACAATTTTAATTCTTGTGCTTATTCTAAAATTTAAATAATCAAAATTTAATTTAAAATACTCATTAAGAATATTTATATTATTTTGACCAGTTTAATTAATTTAAAACGAGAATTTGCACGCTATGAATAGCTATGACTATATAAGAGAACATATGAACCTATATATTTAAGCAAATCAGATTTATGATTTCTCATATCTAACAACGTCTGATAATAAGCGATCAAAAAATGTCTGATTTATGAAGATCATCTTCAGAACCGTTGAAAATTAGACAATCTGTGATCTGAAATGATTGATTGTCTAATTTTCAATATGTTACTTATCACAAATGTGCTTGTAATTTTTGTAACCTTAAGTTTGTAAAATAAATAAAGATTATTATTATTATTACACATGTCCTTTGTTTGTCCACTCCTTTACTACAACGCTAGCGAACACATCGCCACAGACTGTCTCAAGACTATAAGAATTAGATCGTAAAACTTTCATAGTATCAATACACACATCTTGTACAACTTATATACATTTTTTCGGAATTTGAATAACTTTTCAAAGGTAAAAAATGAACGCGACCTGGCGGTGCGTTTAAGATGAGTTAAAGTCGGATCTGAGGTAGGGTGACTCAAAACAACTTACAATATAATATTAAAAATAAACATCTCTCTCTCTCTCTCTCTCAACTCAATCAGGGAGCCTCGCAGAAGACCGGCGGGAAGTAAAACTGTTGACATTTTACATTTCATGCGTGGCCCAGTCGCTAAAATATTTGTTTCGGCTGGGGTTTGTGGGCCTCGACTCTCACGGGACAAATATTTGGGTGACGCACAGATAACTCTCCCTGATCTTAGTTTTTATTTCCAAGGTATACTGTCAGGATGGCTGATCGTAAAAATGGCCAATACAATCAAGCAAGCGTTTCTTGTGATGTCACTCGCCTACACTTAAGAAATAGTCAGTGGTTAGCAACAAGCCTGCACCATCTGCTGTTGCGAGTAGCCATGGGTTTTCCTTTCTAGCTGT